AGTCTGATGTTTGCTTGAGGGCAAGCAAAAGCTAAGTCTGGGGGAGTTGATATATCATGGTTTTTAAATATGGTATAAGTCATTTTTATTTGAGCCTTTTTGATCTTTTTAGAGTCCTAGTAGAGTCTTTGTAGGTTATAGCATGACTGGAGCACAATTTGAGGTTTTGGAGCTTTTTGGATTAAATCAAGAATCATCCTCGAAGTTAGCAACTCATAAGGCGTTGATTGGCATTAGTGACGATCATCACCATTCATGGGTGACGCTCGTCACCCACATCTGTTAAGGAGTCGTGTGTTTTATTAAAAGATGGAGATGAATTTGTACTTTTGGCCCAAGAGTTCCATTATTTGCAAGAAGTCCCCAGCTCGTGTTTTAGCCTGTATATTAGGTTTTCCAGCCATTGTTGGCTTTTTTCTTGTATATGAATTTCTAGAGAGCTTTTGAAAGAGATAGTTTGATGTGCTTTAAAGGAGACAACTCTGAGAAGAATTTGAACCCTTTGTATCTCTACTCTTTATCTTTTAATGCAGCTTTATTCAGTTATGATTTGTTCATTCATGATCATGTATGAGTAATCCGTTAGTTAAGTTAAGATGATTTAAAGGTTGATGAAGAGTTCGTAGAATTGCCAAACAGTTAGAAAAATCCATTGGTTCTTCATTTGTGCTTGCATTCATGTCGATTTCTTAGACTAATCATCTAGATTTCGAAACCCTAGGTTGTTTAATAGATGTGAGAACATTGTTAATCACTTGAACTAGTATTAGATGAGCAAAACGCTTATTTGCAAAGAGATTTGACTTAGGAGTTTTGTGAACAATCGAAACTTGATCCTCAATGCTTGCTTGACTTGTTAGAATTTTGCAAAGAGATTTGAAATTATGTGATTTAGGCATAGATAACTTTTGCAATGAGAATTAATTAGTTAAACTATTGTGTTTTGATTTCTAGACGGTTTTAATTCATTCCTGATTACATGCATTATATATTCTCGGATTCAACCTGCGAATTATCCTGACTTAGCGCCTTTAGCTTTCTGAACTTTAGATCAACCAACAAAAATCGCCTGCTTTCATTATTTTAGTTATTTTGTATTACATTCATTCAGTACTGCTTAGCTTAATATGAACCTAAAGTCTATATTGTAGTAGCTTACTCCATTGGGATTCGATAATCCTTTGTGCTACAACTCCTTTGCTGTAGTAAAATAATTGGGTAAAACTTAGACCCTATCAAATATGTTTCTCAAAATTGCAAGCTCACCCCATATTCATCCATGTCCATGATCATTGTACATTTTTCTCTTATTGAAGTTGGTTTTCTGAGACAAGTTATTCATCTGGTTGTTGTAGATGACTTGTACATGATAAGTTTCTTCTTTGAATGCCAAGTCATACTACAAACACATATTCGAGAATGGAGCTTTGTTGAGCATCTAAGTGTGTTAACTTCTCATTATTTACAAATGTTGCTTCAATTCCTTTATGGTTCTTCACCAAGACCACCAGACAATCACATTTCTAGTGATGAAATTCCAGATTTCATGGGTTCAAAAAGAATAAGGAGTTCTACAAGTCCAAGCACGAATACTTATATCTTTAGGAGGAGTATTATAGTACATATATATATATATGGTTTAGTGATGGTTTACTCATATTGGTTATTAAATGGTTTAGGTTAGCCATTCGTGAACGTTGGAAGATCATCGATCAGAGTTTACAGAGTCGGAGCATTGGATCCAGTCAATTGACTTGAAATCTTCGACAGATACACCATGGAAGCTTGAAACAATGGATCGCAACTGAAGACAGCTCTGAATTGGTGAATCGAAGAAGAATTAACAGAGACTTGAGCTTGATGGCTCTGATACCATATTATGATATCGAAAATAAGAGAGTTTTGAAGAACACAATTTATGAAAAAAAATATAATTTCTCATTCTAAATGTAAATGAAAGCAGTATTATTGGTTATACAACATATTTATTAATCAAATTGTTTTAAGAGAAAACGTGATTTCCCAAATAATGTGCGAAAATACAACTTTGCAGATTTACCGAAAAAAGTGATTTCATAGTTTTAGTAAAAATATGCAATTTCTCAGTTTTTGCAGAAAACGCAATTTTTAATTTTTATAGGAAAACCTAATTTTGTGATTTTAACGGGAAAAAACGATTTTACGATATTGGTGAGAAAATGTGATTTCTAGATTATTGCGAAAAAATGCAATTTCATGATTTTGATGGGAAATGCGACTTCTTGGTTGTTGTGGAAAAACAAAATTTTATGTTTTATAGCTAAAATCGAACAGCACCAAAAGTGAAAGTGTGCGTGAACTATCAGAATTGTGAAACAAACAGCACTTAAATCGAAAGTTTATATGTGTACTGGATCAGGTTCATATCCGAATTCGAGCTCCAGCGAGTGGTGCAAGGTTAGTGGCATGATGGTCAAGACTTTGGTGCTCTTCTCCACAAGTTTCTTACTAAATCCACAACTCGTAGAGATCACACTCGCGTCATCTCTCGCTCACTCACAAGAGAGAAAGTTTTATCTTCAATCACAGTTTTTCAACTCAGAAGTCAAAACAAAAAATTGTGCTTTTCTACTTTGATCATGGAAAAATCTGATTTGAGATTTTTGTTATCATAATTTGAAATTTACAAAGTAGCAAGCGTCAAGGGATCCTAAAAACTATTTCAACATAAGGTTTATGATCAATCATACATATTTATTAAATAAAAGAGAGAACAGTGTTCTTAGCTCTTAGGTGGAATTCAATATGGTTTTTTTCTAAATTAGCTTGATGTTGCCGTGTCATGAGCTAACTTTTAGGTGTAAATTAGGCTCATTACTAATATGGTATCAGAGTTTACGTTATATCCAACTATCTTGATTGTGAGCCCTGCATACGTAGATGTCTAGTCCCACAAACTTCATGCTTCAGGTGATGTCCAATCCTGAGCATGAGGATAATCTTCCACTCTTGATCTAGCTTTTAGGTGTGAGTTAAATCCAACAATAATATACCTCTAAGTGTTGTGACCATGGGAAACGTTATTTGTACAAAAGCTCAATTTCACATGGTGAATTTCCAAATTCATGGATATTGTTCTTTTATAAGAGAAGCATAGCATTATGGCTTTGCACTCTCTTTCTTCCACACAAAAACACTCAAGTTTCATTCTCGGATTTGCAGAACGGGTGATGTTTTGCACTTCCAAAATTTTTATCTCATCTTTTCCTACTCGAAAGCTTTCAAAATTTGACTAAAACAGAATTTTGTTTTTTAGGATATTTGCAGGTTTGGAGACGAAGTCAAGGTCCATACGAGTTTTCAAGCTAGTAACATCATCAATATTTTGTCTTAATTTAATTTCAATTAGGTAGTTGGCCTGCACATATGTGTGGACATAAAAATTTTATTAAAAAGTTAATTATTAATAATATATATTATTAATAATAAATAAGTGATTGACCTGTTTGGTAATATATTTGTAAGAAATTTTTGTTTGTGAAAAAATGTTTTAATAGATTTGAGAAATTGAGCCATAGTAATAAAACATACAAAAAACTTAAAATATTTTTTTTAAGAAAATCGTAAAATAAAATAAAATGATTATTTATTATTTGTTGTTTTCTACTTTTTATTTATATTTTTCATCTTTTTATAGTTTTTGTCACTTTACGTCCTATTTCTGGTTCGTAATTCTCACTATATAATTAAAATATATTCACATATAATATAAACTTTTGATCTTTATTCATAGTGAGGCAAAATAAGATGATAATAAAAGTGAAAAAAATCTCCTTCTAAAAATCTGATGCCGCAAATTCTCACACAAATAATTAAACTTGTAAATATTTCGCTAAAAATTTACTTAAAATAAGATTTCAAATTTTTCTATCAAAAAACTGATTTAACAAATTTCATCCCAAAAACATCAAATTTTATTTATAGATTAAATAATGTCATGTCACAAGCCATGTGTACTAAAAACTGACATGTCACAATTACATCATCATTACACATCATCATTTTCATATCACATTAAAATTGCTCAAACTATATATATTAACCAATCAAATTAAAACAAATCAGCATTTTTCATTAAACTACATTCTCAATTAATAGGTAGAGAATTCCTTTGACAAATTCTGGATTTAGGCTTCATTATGTGCTTGAGTTGATTAACTCAGATATCACCTAGTGTCTTCATTATGTGCTTGAGTTGCTTGATTAGATTAAATTAAATTATTATAGAGTTTTAGTGTTTAAATGCAAACTATGATATTTGTTAGTTTCAGCTTTTTATTCACATGGATTGATCAAAAAAATTTAGGAAAATATCTTACTGTTGATGCTAAGGTCCGTACTACGTATAAATAGATGAGTGGAGAATGAGTTCGGAGATTTTCTTATTAAACGGATTCAATCGTAACCAAAGGAACTGAAAATGGACAAAGTCGTCTAAAAACTTAAGTAAGAAGGGGAAGTCCTCAAAATAGAAAATGGAGACCGCCTGCTGTTCGAACCGGGGGGTCATCGAGCAGGGATCGTCAAAAGAGAAGAGGAGACGTCTAGTCGCTCTCGGGAAGAAGCCGATCAAAAGATTCCCTTGTCACATCAAAGTACGGTACTATTTATAGCACGCACCTTGATGACAATGTCAGATGTCGGGTACGTGAGCGTTCTCGTAAATGGTCGGAATCATCATCTCTAAATGGGCTAGGTCAACCTTCTCTTTCTGTTGACTTTGTTAACTCCGAGTTGACTTTGCTCATGAAGCTTCTTTATTTTGGATCTAAAATGGACTGGTCTTCAGGCCCAATACCAACACTTACCCAAAGACCAAAGTTATGAATCATTTGCACAAGTGTTTGTTCCTTGGAATAAATGTAATTTTTATTTTTACAGGTTAAAAATCTGGTGGAAACATAAAGCTTGGCACAAACTCTATTAACGCTTCTTCTCGCCGGCGAGTTCCTAGCCGGAAAATGGCCGACAAGTGCACCGATAGTGGAAATTTAATGGCCATAGCCCAACAACTCATCAAACAGAAGCAACAACAACAATCACAGCAGCAACACCAACAAGAACAGCCGAATCAATTCTTAGGTTATACTCAAACCGGTTCAGATTTCTCCGACCCGTTTCTGGTAACCGGCGACCTTGGTTTTCAGTTTCCACACTTGGGCCATCAAAGCGCCGTCGTTTCCGAGGGTTTTAGGTTTTCCTCTGACGGAGAGTTCGACGGGGACGACTGGATAGAGAGTCTAATCAACGGTGGAGATGCGAGCAATCAAGACTTTTCAATCCACGGCCATGATCTATTCCCGAGTCGACTCAGTGTTCCGTCGGATCTTAACCCAGTGATATACTTTGATGGAGATGACTCAACGAGTCAACCAACTAACCTGCCGGTTTCCACCACCACTTTGTGGGCCCCAAATCCGCCTCCCTCTTCATCTCCGCCGCAGCTAGTAACAAAGGAGCCAGACTTTGACTTAAACAGGCCGGTTCTGAAAGCTATTCACGATTGTGCACGGGATTCAGAAATCGAACCGGACGCCGCCGCGGAAACACTTGTTCGGATCCGAGAATCCGTATCGGAATCGGGCGACCCGACGGAGCGAGTTGGGTTTTACTTCCGTGAAGCTCTGTGTAACAGACTGTCGTCGACGACGGCGAAGAAGGAAACGGAATATCTACCGTCGTCGCTCGAAGATTTGATCCTCTCTTATAAAACCTTAAACGACGCTTGCCCTTTCTCCAAGTTCGCTCATTTGACGGCGAATCAAGCGATTCTAGAAGCTACACAAAAATCCAGCAACATCCACATCGTCGATTTCGGGATTTTCCAAGGTATTCAATGGGCTGCTCTCTTGCAAGATCTAGCCACCCGAGCTTCTGGAAAACCCGCCCGAATCCGTATTTCGGGTATACCCGCTCCGTCTCTCGGTGAATCGCCGGAACCGTCTCTGATCGCTACAGGAAACCGCCTACGCGATCTCGCTACGCTTTTGGATCTGAATTTCGAGTTTTATCCGATTCTCACTCCAATTCATTTATTAAACGGGTCGAGTTTCCGGGTCGAAGCAGACGAGGTTCTCGCCGTTAATTTCATGCTCGAGCTTTACAAGCTTCTCGACGACACGGCGACGACCGTCCATACTGCACTCCGGCTGGCCAGATCACTAACCCCGAGAATCGTGACTCTTGGTGAATACGAAGTGAGTTTAAACCGGGTTGAATTCGCTAACCGGGTCAAAAATGCTCTCCGGTTCTATTCCGCGGTTTTCGAATCACTCGAACCGAATTTAGACCGAGATTCGAAAGAAAGGCGGAGAGTGGAGAGAGTGCTTTTCGGTAGGAGGATATCGGATTTGGTCCGATCCGGTACGGGAACCCGAATGGAAGAGAAAGAACAATGGAGAGTGTTGATGAAAAAAGCCGGTTTTGAGCCGGTTAAACAGAGTAATTACGCGGTTAGCCAAGCGAAACAGCTCCTATGGAACTACAATTACAGCACATTGTATTCACTCGTTGAATCGGAGCCAGGTTTCATCTACTTAGCATGGAATAATGTTCCTCTCCTCACTCTTTCCTGTTGGCGTTGATAAATTATAATTAGTCTTTCACTCTTTCGAGCTAGTTTATTCAAGGGCTAGATTTGGTATTTTTCTTTGAAGTAGTGATGTTTTGAAAAAGTGTTTTTAGAATCGGTTGTATGATAATTTTTGGAGTGATGGGTTTGGTCACTTTTGTTCATTTGTAACATTCAATATCGTTTTTTATTCATCTCAGCAACATTTCATTTTTTTGGTATATAAGAAAGCTCAACCCTTTACTTCATTACAATGTCTTGACGACAAATCGAAGATGAGTTTGAATACAAAACAAAAATATGATTGCAAAAGCAAGAATATAGCCTCATCTTGATCTATGTCGTATTGTTGACGTAGAAGTAAAGAGCTGCGAGTGCTAAAACCCCAATTGCAATAGCTATAGGCAAAGCCTTCCTGCGTTATTGTAATTGCCATAAGATCAAAATATGAGAAGAGAAAACCAAAAGATGCAAAATTTTGACTTTTCTTACCCAACAGCTTCGTCTCTTTGGAGCTCAGCTTTTCTTGCTTTTCTCACATCCTTGTCGTTAACGTTCTTGCTCACATCCGGCATGTACGGTCTAAACCTCCGTTTTGGAGCAGCACACACTGCAAAACACTAATCTACTTTCAAAAACTGGTCAAAGCAACAATTTTTCTTCTCGATTCACTAAGTCTTAATGCCTTATCATACCTGGACAGAAGTAATTATCAGGTAACTTGTCGAATGGAGTTCTATCATTGTAAATATACCTGTGAAATCAAGAAAAAGAGATGACTTTTGATGAATAAACTCTTTGGTATGTTAAGAGAATTTGAAGAAGATAGAGATTGAAAGAGACCCGCAATCACGGCAGATGTAGGCTTGCTTGGAGGACACACGCATGGAGAATCTCGGAGCAGAGGAGGATGGTGATTTGGAGAGAGGTTTCTTGTTGCTGAGTGGTCTGATCGAGTAATACGGCAAGAAAGACGATCTGAGGAGGTTTGGAGTCGTCGGCGATAAGATCGTTGAGGTTTTTCCGGCGTAAAGAGTCGCCGGAGGAACGTTCATTGTCGTCATTGGAGAAAAGTAAAGTGTGGTGGCCTGGTGGGATCAGTGGAGAAGATGAATGTGATGATGATGATAAGAGAAGAGTATAGAAGAAAGAGGATGTGGAAGAGTGCTCCTCACAAGCCCATTTTCTCACTCGCCACGTCAGATTTCCTTTTTTGCTTTATTATTCGGATGAATCTGGTGGTATTAAAAAAGTCTATTTATAAGAAAAATACTTGGACTCTATTAGTACGGACCAAACTGGAGTATGGCCCAAACTAGATTTGTTTTCCGGAACCACTTTGTATATATATTTTTTAATCTTTTAAAGCCATTTTTGAGAAATTAGAGGATACAATTTTTTATTTCTAAAGAGAAAATTTGGTAATTGGGTAATTTTAACTTTTTAATTAGCAACAATGTGTTTTTTATTAAAAAAATATTTGCTATTTGGATAGTTTTGTTTTTAAAAGTAATATTAATCCTTTCCACATTTTAATATTTGCAATTTATAAGACTTTTGGTTTTTTCATACATCTAAAGTATGATAGGTCGATTTATTTATAAATTTGATTTTTGTGCTAATTCACACTTCAATCTCATATTTACTTTAATTGATATCTAAATTTATTAAAATTAGCTAATTTGTACTTTGTTTTTGATAGTTTAATGAGTAATTACAATGATAGACCTAAATAATAAGTAAATTAAGTAGATAGTTTTGACAACTTTTCGATGCATCTGTTATATATTTACTCCTACAAAATCTTGCGTGTAATACCATACAAATATTCATATCTTAACCCCACAATTATTAGTTATTCAGAATCGATATCAAAAGCCGAATGAAACTCATATTTGCTTTTCTCTTTTCATCACTCTCTCCCATGACCAGTTTTTCTACTCCTTCAAACAAAATTTCTCTCACATGTCTTTAATTTCTTCACGAATTTTCTTATATGTGTGTCTCTCTTATATAAATTTTTAAGGATGGTAGTGGTGTGGTGGTGGTGGTTGAGGATGAGGACGAAGATAAGAAATAGCGATGGTGGTGGTGATAGGTGATGGTTGTGGCAATAGTGATGGTTGTGGTGAAAATGATGGTGATGATGATAGTGGTGATAATAATGACAGAAGATGGTGGTGGTGCCGGTGAAAGAGGGCAATAATGCTGATGACAATTACTTAAATGGTTATCAAAATAATTTTGCATAATTTATAAAATTAACAAATTTAACTTTTATTTTTCATGAAATGATATCAACGTTAGCATGATGGTTATCATGGTCACAAGGTTAGTACGATAATTATTTGATATGATAACATTGTTAACATGATAATTTTTTTTATTATATGATAACTAGTTAATTCGATATTTGTACAATATGTTAATTGAGCATTATATTAGTTAGTATGATAATCAACAGTTATCATGATATCATATTAGTTAGCACGGTAATAAAACAGTTGTCCACTAAAACCACAAGAAATAAATTATAAGAGCAAAAATATCATAATTCCTATGTGTAATACGTATCAAACTAATTTTCAATTATTTTCTCCACTTTTTTGTTTTCTTATTAACTGAGGCTATAAATTAAAATCACCCTAGTTTAATAGTTAATTTGTTGACTTGAATATCATGTAAAATACAACTTAATTAGTTTGGCCAACACATATATTAAAAAAAAACTATCAAAAGATTATAAACAAATATTACAAAACTCAATAATCAAACTTATAAACTCAAATGGATAAGCCATCTAACTCAACCACCTGAGCCAAATGATTTTCTACATGATGACGAAGAGAACTTCATCGTTTTCATTTTTTGATAATTCCTCTCTTTTCTCAAGCAATGCTTTCTCTTGGTTAAATATTATCCCTTCAACGATTTTGCAACTGCATTTACTTCATTTCTTGTTGGAGGAATCCTGGAGATGTAAAAAATATATTACCTTTATTTTTGATGTTTCAAACGACAACAAACAATACGACAATGTTAGTACTTATTTTCTTTAGATTATTTACAATGATGTTTTAATCCAAAAACAATTACCATCCATTTTGGCCAAACAACATCTTATGTGGCATCCGAGTCGATGGAGTTATATATGGCTCTAATATCCAACATGACTACGATTCTAATTTTGCCAATAGTACATTTTTGTAGTTATAAGAGAAATGATCTCTAATAAAAATTAAGTTAAGGTTAACTACATCTCGCACAAACATATCATCAACTTTAAATTGATATGTACGATGTTGATATTAAACATCATGTTGCTTCCAATATATGGCGATGTTTTGATTGATTAACTTACCCTTTATTTTATCAAAGAGTAATTAGTACATAATTTTGAGAATTTAATGGATTAAGTCTTCCAAATTGACATGATTCTCCCAACAAAAGTTGGGATTTTGCTCACGGTAAAGATCACACCGTCATTTTAAACAGATTTTGCATGGACTCTAGCAAAGCCTTAAATAACTGGATCATGGCCTTTATGCAACATTAGACATACCAGAACAAGCTGGAAGAAAAACATGATTTTAAAAATAATTTCCTTTGATTTACTCGAAAGAGTTGAATTGGAAACATTCCACACAATCCAAAACTTTCAAAGATTTAATATATTTAAGTCAAAATAATTTAGATACAGAAAATCTAGTGCTGCCCCAATTACATTGGCGGTACAACCAAAAAAATATTTATAATTTGTTTTGTATTTAACTTGGACCGAAAAACACATTGTTATCTAAAACACCATTCGTCTGAGCAATCGTAGAGCATTGCAAAACAATGTCATTCCACGTCCATCCAAGAAGATTAAAGTCATCTCCTAGGATTCTCACATTCTCTGGTGGTTGAATGGCATCAATCGCTTATTGGAGATAAATTGCGCTAGCCATAGCATCATCCGGTAAAACTGCATCCCAATGATAAAATGTGGCTCGTGAATGTTATATATACATCATCAGAACATCAGGTGTTCCATCAATCGGTCAGAAATTGTGTTTCAGGAACTGTCTTCTTTGTGCTAAAGAGCAATTTTACAAGTGCAGCTTCAGATCTGCAATGAAATATCTAAAACACTCCACGACATGACTTACTTCCACTCCATCATCCTTTACTTACAAAAATTTTCCATTTAGGTTCGATCAAAGCTGATAAAGTCAGAAGAAATAACATAATGTATAACGAAATTTTCTTTTAAATGTATAAACTGAAAACTCTACTTAGAACCACATCGAATAAAATGAAAACAACCAAAAAACTCAAATTTGGGATAAAAGTGTACCAAAGAGATCAGAGAGAGACTTCACTGTGTGGTTTCTCTTTTTTTTTCTGGAATTTGGCAGGTGAGAGAAAACAAGTGGGCTATCTTACTTATTATGGGTGGATGTGGATGTTGTACTAAGTAAGACATATTAAGTGTTGTCCCATCCTCTCTCATGGAGTACTAAAGTTTTCTTCCATGGAATATTGTAATCTGCTGGACCCATTTTTCTTTCTCCCTTGCTTTTTTTGTTTGCTTAAGTTTTGCCATTTTTGAAACATCGTTTTGATCATCTCACTAGCTAATGCATACCCATATGCACTTATATATGTTGTATAATAATCCTGCTGAAAACAAACACAAATCAATGGTTGAGAACATTAATAGTATACACAAGTTTGTTGATATACCCATTATTTATACCATATTAGCATGAATTCACTACTAGTTTTTGGTCTTTGAACATGCATTTTTTACTTGTTCTTACCTTATTTGCATTCATTTAGGAGTTAGATTAGTTTTAGGCATTATATTGCATTTTTTGCATTTGGAGTTGTATCAGGTACAAAAGGAGTGTTTGAATGGATGTAAGCTAGGAGTGGAGACAAAGTGAGAACAAAGGCAGATGGACCAATATCGAGCAGGATATCGGACAAACATGCCCGATATGGCGTGTATTGGCCTGCATATCGACTTGCTTACATCGATACAAGGGGAGTGAAGCATACAAATGAGTATATCGGCCAAATGGGACATCGATACATGAAGGAGGACTTGTATCGGGCAGCATATTGGGGACTCATGCCGATACACCTGAGACAAGACACATGTATCGACCAATATATCAACCAATATATCGACCAAGGAGTGTCTGATCTGCCTTAACTCAAGCGATTGTACCGGCCAGCATATCAAGGACGAGCACCCGGATACTTCCCCTGGAAGACTGATGTATTGACCACTGTATCGATACTCTCCTGGATATTGGCTTCCTCATGATTGTATCGGGCAAGCCAAGCCGATACAATCATGAGGAAGCCAATATCCAGGAGAGTATCGATCAAGCCATGCCGATATGGGTCATCCGAACCAGCTTAAATCCGGTTTACTATTGGTTTATTAGAGGTTTTCAGAACACCTATAAATATGTAAAGTCCTAATTTCATTAGGAAATCTCATCTTTTATTGTCTTTAGTCTAGAACCTTTCTCTTTTGAGTAAACTTTGTAAGATTCTTGGTTTATTTAGTGAATGTTTGCATTCTGTTTAATCGTTTCTTGTTTAATCTACTTTCTAATCATGCTTAGCCATTCTTTCTCTCTCGGATTTATGCTTAAGCTGCTAGTGAGTAGTCCTTTTTAGGGTTTGAGATGGGATAGATTAGAGGGGTTTTAGGATTAGAATAGTGATGTCTTGTGCTTAATATGATTGTTTCCTCTCTATTTGATGTTCTTAACACTAGGTTAGTCTTGATCAAGTTTGCTTAGTATCTAGCTTTCTCTTATGCATGCAAAATGTTTGATGAAATATTGATTAGTCACTTAAAGGATTTATCTATTCTAGCATAAGGGATTAGCTGTCTAGAAGGTATCTTAGCTTAATAGAATTGGTTTTGCTTGCTTGTTATCCATCTAATCACTAATGGGAATTAGTTCTTGGTTAGGTTGTTAAGAAAGGGGTTTTGTAAGTGTAGAAAACAGGCACACACAATCAATGACTTGGAAAGCGCCAAGTCGAACGCTAGGATTTGTTATTTCGAATCAACAATTTAATCAACTGATTACAATTGCTTGGATTTATGCAACTCTACTCTTAAAAAGCAACCAAACGATTCCTAGTAACAAAACCTACACTTCTCTTGATCACACAACACGTGTATCAGAGAAGAG